CTTCATGTCTCTTCTACATCAGCATGTGTCCCCTCTTCTTCATGTCTCTTCTTCATCAACATGTGTCCCCTCTTCTTCATGTCTCTTCTACATCAACATGTGTCCCCTCTTCTTCATGTCTCTTCTACATCAACATGTGTCCCCTCTTCTTCATGTCTCTTCTTCATCAACATGTGTCCCCTCTTCTTCATGTCTCTTCTACATCAGCATGTGTCCCCTCTTCTTCATGTCTCTTCTTCATCAACATGTGTCCCCTCTTCTTCATGTCTCTTCTACATCAGCATGTGTCCCCTCTTCTTCATGTCTCTTCTTCATCAACATGTGTCCCCTCTTCTTCATGTCTCTTCTACATCAACATGTGTCCCCTCTTCTTCATGTCTCTTCTACATCAACATGTGTCCCCTCTTCTTCATGTCTCTTCTACATCAACATGTGTCCCCTCTTCTTCATGTCTCTTCTACATCAACATGTGTCCCCTCTTCTTCATGTCTCTTCTACATCAACATGTGTCCCCTCTTCTTCATGTCTCTTCTACATCAACATGTGTCCCCTCTTCTTCATGTCTCTTCTACATCAACATGTGTCCCCTCTTCTCCATGTCTCTTCTTCATCAACATGTGTCCCCTCTTCTTCATGTCTCTTCTACATCAGCATGTGTCCCCTCTTCTTCATGTCTCTTCTTCATCAACATGTGTCCCCTCTTCTTCATGTCTCTTCTTCATCAACATGTGTCCCCTCTTCTTCATGTCTCTTCTACATCAACATGTGTCCCCTCTTCTTCATGTCTCTTCTACATCAGCATGTGTCCCCTCTTCTTCATGTCTCTTCTTCATCAACATGTGTCCCCTCTTCTTCATGTCTCTTTCTACATCAACATGTGTCCCCTCTTCTTCATGTCTCTTCTACATCAACATGAGTCCCCTCTTCTTCATGTTCTTTCTACATCAGCATGTGTCCCCTCTCTTCATGTCTTCTTCTTCATGCAACATGTGTCCCCTTCTTCATGTCTCTTCTACATCAACATGTGTCCCCTCTTCTTCATGTCTCTTCTACATCCAACATGTGTCCCTCTTCTTTCTTCATGTCTCTTCTTCATCAACATGTGTCCCTCTTCTTCTTCATGTCTCTTCTACATCAACATGTGTCCCCTCTTCTTCATGTCTCTTCTCTCTTCATGTCTCTTCCATCACATGTGTCCCCTCTTCTTCATGTCTCTTCTACATCAGCATGTTGTCCCCTCTTTCTTCATGTCTCTTCTTCATCAACATGTGTCCCCTCTTCTTCATGTCTCTTCTACATCAACATGAGTCCCCTCTTCTTCATGTCTCTTCTTTACATCAGCATGTGTCCCCTCTTCTTCATGTCTCTTCTCATCAACATGTGTCCCCTCTTCTTCATGTCTCTTCTACATCAACATGTGTCCCCTCTTCTTCATGTCTCTTCTACATCAACATGTGTCCCCTCTTCTTCATGTCTCTTCTTCATCAACATGTGTCCCCTCTTCTTCTTCTTCATGTCTCTTCTACATCAACATGTGTCCCCTCTTCTTCATGTCTCTTCTACATCAACATGTGTCCCCTCTTCTTCTTCTTCATGTCTCTTCTACATCAACATGTGTCCCCCTCTTCTTCATGTCTCTTCTTCATCAACATGTGTCCCCTCTTCTTCTTCATGTCTCTTCTACATCAGCATGTGTCCCCTCTTCTTCATGTCTCTTCTTCATCAACATGTGTCCCCTCTTCTTCATGTCTCTTCTACATCAACATGTGTCCCCTCTTCTTCATGTCTCTTCTACATCAGCATGTGTCCCCTCTTCTTCATGTCTCTTCTTCATCAACATGTGTCCCCTCTTCTTCATGTCTCTTCTACATCAACATGTGTCCCCTCTTCTTCATGTCTCTTCTACATCAACATGTGTCCCCTCTTCTTCATGTCTCTTCTACATCAACATGTGTCCCTCTTCTTCATGTCTCTTCTACATCAACATGTGTCCCCTCTTCTTCATGTCTCTTCTACATCAACATGTGTCCCCTCTTCTTCATGTCTTCTCTACATCACCATGTGTCCCCTCTTCTTCATGTCTCTTCTACATCAACATGTGTCCCCTCTTCTTCATGTCTCTTCTTCATCAACATGTGTCCCCTCTTCTTCATGTCTCTTCTACATCAACATGTGTCCCCTCTTCTTCATGTCTCTTCTACATTCAACATGTGTCCCCTCTTCTTCATGTCTCTTCTACATCAACATGTGTCCCCCTCTTCTTCATGTCTCTTCTACATCAACATGTGTCCCCTCTTCTTCATGTCTCTTCTACATCACATGTGTCCCCTCTTCTTCATGTCTCTTCTACATCAACATGTGTCCCCTCTTCTTCATGTCTCTTCTACATCAACATGTGTCCCCTCTTCTTCATGTCTCTTCTACATCAACATGTGTCCCCTCTTCCTCATGTCCTCTTCTACATCAACATGTGTCCCCTCTTCTTCATGTCTCTTCTACATCAACATGTGTCCCCTCTTCTTCATGTCTCTTCTACATCAACATGTGGTCCCCTCTTCTTCATGTCTCTTCTTCATCAACATGTGGCCCCTCTTCTTCATGTCTCTTCTACATCAACATGTGTCCCCTCTTCTTCATGTCTCTTCTTCATCAACATGTGTCCCCTCTTCTTCAATGTCTCTTCTACATCAACATGTGTCCCTCTTCTTTCATGTCTCTTCTACATCAACATGTGTCCCCTCTTCTTCATGTCTCTTCTTCATCAACATGTGTCCCCTCTTCTTCATGTCTCTTCTACATCAACATGTGTCCCCTCTTCTTCATGTCTCTTCTACATCAGCATGTGTCCCCTCTTCTTCATGTCTCTTCTACATCAACATGTGTCCCCTCTTCTTCATGTCTCTTCTACATCAACATGTGTCCCCTCTTCTTCATGTCTCTTCTTCATCAACATGTGTCCCCTCTGTGTAAAGAGACTCTGAAAGTTTCAGGAACAAAGATTCTCTCTCTTTTTGTCCTGATCCATTTCTATAAAAACCTGTCTGAAAATGAGCTGATCAGATTTTGGCCACTTTATGATGTCATAACGATGTGTTGGCTTGAGTAACCATTAGCCAATCACCAACCAAGGTAACCCCCCCCCCACCTTATCACCTGAATCTCCTCCTAGAGCACCATTGTGTTCTTCGTAACCAAATCTCTCTCAGAGGGGCGTGGGGAGGGGCTCCTTATTTTCATCTAAAGTAACAGACAGAGAATCAGCACTTTTGAAACAGGGCTGAAACAGAGGGGATTATGGGATGCTGCAATGATCTGTTTGGTGTTTCAGCCAATCAGAGACAGGCTCTGGATATATCTGAGACCTGTAATATATTGATGAAGAAGAGGATAATAGGGGACCTTTAAATTGTAATCTCGAAATAAAAGTCATAATATTACTCTTAAGTCTTAAGAATTAATTTTTGAGAAAGAAAATCGTAAATTACAGAAATGAATTCATAATTTTGATAAGAAATGTCACAAAATATCATAATAAGTGGAAATTATTCGGAAATACAACAGCAAATAAAGTTGTATGCCATAAATCTGAGAATCATTTCTTACTATTATGAGGACAAAGTAATCATTTAATGAGAGTAAAATGATATAATATTTCAGGAAGACGTTAATTATGATATTTACTAGAATAAAGTTGCAATTTTTTAAGCAAGACCAATACAATACAAGCTCATTTAAAGTCACACTAAAAATTAAAAAATACGTTGTCACAAGCTCTGTCAGCGAGGATTCATCGTTATATTATCACACCACATTCTCACCAATTAAAGGTGAGATAACTTCACATTTCATTTTGAACAGCTCCCATAAGATTATTGCAGTATATAAACAATGTCTGTTAGTTAGCAAAAGCTGCTCCATAATTACAAAAAAATGTAATATATAATTGAGCAGTTAATTACTGTGATTGTGATTATGTGATTGTATTGCAGCTCAAAACCAAATGAAGCACCCAGATATTAAATATTGAACCTGTACGCTCGGCCAGTAAATAAAGCATTCACATCAAATAATACAAAAATAAACACGGAACGACTCGTGCTTGGATCCTCACTCGACCCTCACAAGTTGCTGTTTTTATAAAAGTGTACACGATGTTTGAATGACTGAAGGATTCTAACATTATTTAGGATGACCAGCAGGATGATTACCATGAATCTGGTGTACTGTAGTTCAGAGGGTTTCGGGTTATCAGTGTCTGTCGGAGGAATAACGGCAGCTTTGCAGATAAAAGGCTGAACCAAATGAAGCTCCTCCACCACCCATGGTATTATCAAGCTGTGTTGTAAACAGGCACACTTTCTAAAAAGCAGCAACACCCCTCCAACAGGACATGTTATGAGTGTGTGTGTGTGTGTGTCTTTTCATGTTTCTCTTTGTCTTTTAATTCACCAACACGCCATCTGGTTGAGTTATTTTTATCACAAGGAGGAGAAGGTGTCATTGCCAACTGATTGTACTGTGAATATGTGTATTTTCTGCATGAACACAGACACATTTCTTCCTGTTTTTTAATGAGATGACAATTAGTATTTTGCAGTATGAGGCCTAATAAGATGTGTTCAGTTGCAAGTCTAGGGTTGAAAAAAACAGCAGGTACATGAAAAATATGATACAAGTGCACAACAATGGATATTTGCATTGTTTTCACTTAGAATCCTCAAATCATGGCAGTTTGAATAGAAAAACACAACTTTTGGGGTTTTTTCAACATTGTAGAGATGAACTAAAACACAGTTTCCCATCATACATACACTATGTATTTGTTCTACTATCTAATAATCTATTTTCCTCCCTGCTTGGCTCTGTGTTGTCTCTCTGATTCCCACAGAGATCACCAAAGTCATCTTCCATTGTTTCTGCTACAAAAAGTCCATTTGTTTTATCCAGCTTATGTCCTTTTAAATTCATTGATCTTATGTCTATGTCGCTGTTTCTTTCAGGTACTAACAGAGGAAGGTTTTGGTGAAATAACGACAGAAATAGCCCAGGAAAAACCATTCTACTACGCAGAGGATTACCACCAGCAGTACCTGAACAAAAACCCAGATGGATACTGTGGGCTGGGCGGGACTGGAGTCTCCTGTCCAATAGGAATCAAGAGCAAGGTCTAGATAGCCAATCACAGCCATGAACCATCTCCTTCAGTAAGGCTGCAACCAGGAAATGATCTTAATTTAAAATGAGTTTTAAACATAAACACATTTGATTTTTACAAGCATTTAAACATTAAGTCCAACATGTATAATGTATAAGGCCATACGAACCCTAATGCTTCATCTTTCTGGAAATAAGCAGGGATTTTCTGAAGCTGTAGCTCAGTTTGCTGAAAGAATAACACTCATTGCAATGCAGATTTCTGCCTGATGTAACCTAGCGACATACACTGCAGTGGAGACGCTGATTAAGGCTGTCAGTCTCCTCAGCTCGTAGCTATGAGTAAACATCCCAGTGCCTCAAGATGATGCATAAAGCGTGCATCGTAGCATGGTTCCTTTGCAAAGGCTTTACACAAGAATACTCCTCAACGCAATTCTGTGTATTAGATAAATGATAGTGTTTGTAATCTAATGAAATAAAGTTAAAGAAGTGGTGAACATCTTACACAATCTTCGCACTGAATGCATCGATCCACTATGTGTTTCAGAGTCCAAACGACTCGTTGCTTTCCTGCTCAGATTGCTTTATTAATGATGACTATTGTATGATGAACTTAAAACCAATGCAGGTTACTTTTTAGAAGTCTGTTAAGGAATACAATGGATTAAAAGCTTGTTTTCTGAGTGCTGTTCAGATCTATACACTGAATGTATTATTTTGATGGAAGATGAGGAAATAACGCAATAATTGATCCTCAGGGATATCTTACAGATCACTTAATATGGTATGAAGTGACCTCTGACTGTTATTTGAGAGATATTTTGCTTCCTTTTTGCACATTGCCCTTACTGAATTTGAAGGAGAAAGTGAATATTTAATTAAAAACATATTCAGATATCAGTGTTTGCTTTTTTTGTGGCGTGTGTGTGTTTGCGTTTTGGGGGCAGGATTTAGTTTGACCTTCTTCCGCTGATTTTTGCCTAAAGTATTATTCCTGTCCGTGACTCATCTGTCATCGCTGTTGACCTGCATGCATGTGGGTTTTTTCTGCATAGTATGTGTGTGTGTTAATGGCACACACACACACACACACACACACACACACGTGCGCCAGCAGCAGGAGAGCGTGTTTGGTGCCAGGCCCTCCAAAGCTTGGCATCACCATGAAGAGAAGGAAAATATGGGTCTTTTTGGAAATGGCAGAGCGCCATCTTGGATCTCTGCTGCTTTGGATGGCCTCCATGATGCAGACTGCAGGACAGGGACCTCACCAGCAAAATCTCACCACTAATTTGGCAGATTCTGAGCAAATATTCAATATATTTAACAATGACCAGTTTGGTTTGGAGTAAATTGATTCAAGAGAAGTGAAATCTACCTCATATTTGACCAGTTAATGGTCTAGGGGCCAAACGTATATGTGCTTTTTTCTCTTACGCACCTGTCTACAAGAGCATGAATGTGCATCCGCCTTTCGAAGTTAAGTAAAATGTGTTTACATATTTGTCAATGTGAAAAGCCCCAGAATGTACACCACAAAATACTTAAAGGGGACCTATCGTGCAAAATGCACTTTTGTACGTCTTTTATACATGAATATGTGTCCCCGGTGTTCCAGGGAACTCACCAAGTGTCAGAAAACACAACCCTCTCTATTTTCCTCTATACCCAAATCTCTAAAAAAGGGGCTGCAACGGATCTGATAAAAACTGATCCAGATTTGAACACTGTCCTGACGTCAGGACGGTGGCGCTACGGCTATTGGGCCAACTCCACCAATCAGGAGGAGACAGCCACCGCCATTGCCGTTCGAAAGCGCTGGAGACGCTGTAGTACATATGCCAGGCCTGTAGATGGTGCTGTTCTCACTGAATCTGCCCTTACAAACACAGAGCTAAAAAATGTCAAATTGAGCGAAATGAGGCATGGCTAAAATGCATGATCTGTTTGGTATTTTGAAAAAAAAAAAGTATAAATATGCCTTATATAGGTATGGTCCTACACTATATTATTCAAATATAGCATGATAGGTCCACTTTAAACTAACAAAACAGAAGGGTTTGCCTGATTTGTTTTTATAACAAAAAACCTCTTTCAATAATCTATCAGGGCCCTCATGGATCCTTTTTATAATACACATGTACACTTTGCAGTACATCCATGTTATCTCAGCAGGATGACCCCAGCTGGACTGGATCCCATTTTAAATAAAAGGGAAATATTGGATTGCTATGCTATACTCAGTGTGACCCACCCTGGTAAAAACATCATATGATTATGCTGCCATCATGTGGTATGTTTAAGGTATTAGCACATGCTAAACCAGCAAAGGATTTAAGGTTTTCTGAAGTGACAGAAAGGTAAGAAATCATAGAAATATACACTTTGAATTGTAAACCACTAATGCCCTTTCCTTCTGGCATATTTCTTGGTGAAAATAGGAAAGTGAAAAGGTTGCTGGGGACCCCATTGCTCACACAAATAAACCTTAGTGGTAAAACAGGAAATACAGAACGATTATTTTCTAGCACAGAAAATCTATAAAGACTTGCAACTAATAAAGGTAGAGACGAATGATCATAATCTAAGTGTCTACTTATAAATACGTGTATTTCTGGTCTCCTTTATTAGCGTAAAGGAGCATACAATAACGTGACAAATTAGACAAATAAAGCTGTAACAAAAAAAAGCAGACGTTTGAATTTCTGTGACGTTGGCAAACATTCTAAGATGCAAAAAAGGAGGAAGAGAAGAGTTAATAAATCAACAAATACAATTATTTTGAAGGGTCGTACCGGAAGGGTCCTACCGGAAGGGTCCTACCGGAAGTACGACCCTTGTGAAATGAGGCGTGTGGTGCAGTGGGTTGTGCGTTGGTGTTCGGATCAGTTCGGATTTGATTATCCACCTGTTTACCTGTTGGGAGGTTCAAAAATAAAAGTTTGTGTCCTCATTTCACTTTAAGGGATTAACACTAGGTTGAATTCAAGCTATTTTTTTTATCACAATAAAATAGATTGTAACACACATTTTAAAAGGTTTTTCGCCTGCCGTCTTGTCTGCAGACTTGTCAAAGCATTAATTCATGGTTTTTACTAACCGGTATCAGTATGTTGTTACTTCGTGCTATGCGCTGCAGTTGAAATGCGCCATTACATGCTCTTTTGGATCTAAAGTTCCCTTAATACCTTATTGAGAGAGAGAAGGGGATGTCCCCGAATCTTACATTTTTGATCTTATTTAGATTTGGAAAACACATCTCGTTAACCCAAGGAAGGGGGCAAGAGGAAGGGGGCAAGAGGGATGAGGGGGAGGGAGGACTAGGGGGAGGGGGGACTAGGATGTAAGGGGTGACGAGGGGGAGGGGGGAGAAGGATGTGACGTCAAAAACGTTTAAAGGGCCCATGTCATGGCCATTTCCACTGATCATAATTCCATTGTTGAGGTCTACTAGAATAGATTTATATTGTGCATTTTTCCAAACTCACATTGGTTTCTCATACAGCATCTCTGTAAACTACGTGTATTCACTGAATTTCACTCTCTGCCTTTAACGGCTCGTTGTAGCTCCAATAGCTCCAGCCCCCACCCTCCCTGTGAGCACAGTGTGCTCTGATTGGTCGGGACGTTGTGAATCGCGCTGAGCTCCGTGGAGGTGTTGTTTCCTTGTTTAGGATACATAGCGAAACACAGCCAAACTCATCCTGAGCACACACAAAGTCACAGCCCAAGTAAAAACAATAAGTGTGGCTTGATATTGAGTAAGAAAAAGGTTGATAAACGCTGTGAGAATGGGTCTGCAGAGAGAATTTTGCCGCGATCCCAACTGTCTGTTATCAGCCTGCAGCCAGGGAGGAGAAATCAGCTGAGCTGCCTGTGTGTGAGGAAGTCCGTGGATTGGTCAATTTGGACCAATCAGCGGGGGCTTAACGTAACGGCTCCGCGGACGTAACGTAACGGCTCCACGGATCGGTCCATTTCGTTCCGGGCACGGCATGACATCATGCCGTACCCGGAAAACACTTACGGACCGTCTACACAGCAGCGTTAAAAAAATCTTGAAACGCTTCTGCCCATTCACTTTGAATGGGGTGACGTCACTTTCCCTCACTTTTCGCCGAACTGCATTGTGGGCAGGCGAGCGGAGATTTTCAGGATTTTCAGGATTCAAAGTTGAACAATGTTCAACTTTTGAGGCTGAGGTGGAAGCGTCAGCCAATCAAATCCCGTGTACGCAAATCTGACAGTTCAAGCTCTAGCCAATCAAACGGCGTGTATGCTGGGAGAGACATACCGCAGGTCATTTCCTCATATTCCAAAAAATGGAGGAGAAATTAGCGGTAGGGAATCACTCGGTGCTTTATGACCAGACCTACCGGGATATAAACCGGAGGAGCCAGGCATGGAGGGAGGTGGCAGAGACAGTGGTATGTTTTCGCCTGTTTGGGGAGTTTATATCCATTTTACTTCAAACTCTTTTGCTTCGTATGTCGGGGGCGGGAGATTCATGTGATTGGTTGTTGGTGCCTTGCTCGCAAAAAATCCCCAAGCTTCAGATACGCCCACCTCCAAGATTTTTTTAACGCTGCTGTGTGGACGGTCCGTTAGTCTCTTTGGATCACTTGCTGTCTCCTCTGGGTTCTGGTTCTGGTTCGGGGGTGTAGAACTGGTCAGAGCGGTGCTTAGAGGGATCTTTAGGGTGGGGGCTGCCGTGGAGAAAGGGTGAGGAAACTCTGGAGGGGGGGAGGGGGAGGCGTCCACATGTGGAAGGACGTTCAGGAGGTCAGCAGCGCTCAGAGAAACGTCCTCAAACAGAGCTATGTTTGCTGGGTCTTCAGGGAGGAGAGGGAGGGGGTCTGTGGAGGTCTGAGGGGAGAGGAGGGAAGGAGATGAGGAGGGGAGGAGGTGAGGAAGGAGGTTTAGTCTCCTGGATCACGTTAGGTAGGGGCGTCTCTGTGATGGGGTCCTGTGGGGGGGATCCTGGGAAGGGGACACAGCGGGGGACGTCTCCTCGGAGGAACTCACCTCGATGGACTCTAAGGAATCTGAGGTTTCTTCTTCTCCATTGAGACACATCTGTTGGAGGGTAAAAATAAAAGATTTAAAAGAAGGTTTCAACCACAAATCATCCTTTTGGTGTCATTTAAAGAGGACGTGTATAGTTTTCAGGTTCATAGTTAGTGTGAACGCACAGGATAAGAAGTTTTTTCTATATAAAAGCCCCCCACACACACACAATACTACTACTCCAACTACTACTAGTACTTACAGTAAAAAACGACTTACTGTACATCCAACTATTAAATCAATCAGCTATCTCAGGACATTGAGGCTATACATTTACAGTGGAGGAAACAAGTATTTAACCCCCTTCAGATTTTGTAAGTTTACCAACTTATTTTACAACTAAAAGCTCTTTTCAAATGAAGAGCAGGTTGTAACCGAGGCTCTGTGTAGGTCAGAGTCTGAGCGCTGCTCCTCGTCCTGGAAAGACTCAGAGTTTGATAAGCCCTCCCTCTTCTTCCTGCTCTCAGACACAGCCAGCTCCACTCTGTGTTTCCTGGCTCCTCCCCTTCAGATCCACACTGAGGAGGAGGGGTGTAACCAACATGTGGGTAAAGCACAAGAGCTGATAGGCCACATTCACTGCACACACACCTGCTGTTCAGATAACCTGTCCCACTAGTTTCAGCTCTCAGGAAGTGAAACTCACACACTCGCTGCTACTGAGAGGTGAAATGGCGCAGAAAGGAGTTCAGCTGGACCGGGAAATCTTATCTTGTTCGATCTGTCTGGATCTACTGAAGGATCCGGTGACGACTACCTGTGGACACAGCTACTGCATGAAGTGTATTACAGGCTTCTGGGACGGAGAGGATGAGAAGAAGCTCCACAGC